TGAAACGCTTGAATTTGTTTACTCTCAACTGATTTTATATTTGGAGTATTCCTTTGTCAAAGTGAACTATACTATAATAATATTACCAAGCTGGCTCTGCTCTTCATTTTCAAACCAAAAACTTCAAATCGGCGAAAAATGACTTAGGCATTATCATATGAGTGCAACGATGATATCCAAGACTTTGCACTCTGACATAATCCCTGTTCACCATAAAGCGCACCATTAGTTTTTCCTCTGTTTGGAACCAAATGAAGGGCAAGAAGGGAAATGTTGATCATGCACTCAACGATAATATAGTGAAACGAGAGGGGGGTTTTTGTCCTTCATTTGCACGACCGTAGTGCGCATGGGCTCGGCGAAGGTTTTACAGTGGGCAAAGAGCAGCAGCCATGACGAAGCCCGGTCTAGGATATTACAATTCGAGACGTTGGGGTGTAAATATTTTGTGCTCCCTTTTTCACAACTCAAAAACAAAAAAAATTCAGCCTTTGTCTACCTTGGATTTTCCTGTTATGACTTACTCAGACAGTGATAAATAAATCATAGCGCAATGACGGCGTTAATACAACACAATTTATATGTCTTCATGTTATGGAAACTGTGACCAAGAATTGTTGATTGCAAGACGAAGCAAATATAAAGGGGAAACACACAACAAATTTTGGTCACCATTTTCTTTCGGGCAAGTTGGACATTTTAAAAAACGTATGTTCACATATTCGAATTTAAGTTGATTTTGTTCGTGTGTTTGATTGTTTTGTTTTTGATCAAGAAAGTCCTGAAGATAAAAAGAGGCTAAACAAACAAACAAACGTAATAAATTGTAAGGTCACTCACCGTGACAGCCTGAGGGTCACCCCCAAAAGCTTGGATGTTGTCTCTGACCCACTCCAAAGCCCGGATCTGATCCCACAGGCCGAAGTTGCCGAGGCAGTCCGGGGTCAGGGTGCTGAGGAAACCAAAGGTGCCGAGACGGTAGTTCAAGGTCACGACAACTAGGTCAAAGGTCGTCACTAGCGTTCCGGGGAAGATGGTGTTAGAGTTTCCTCCTAGGTTGCTCCCTCCGTGGATGTAAACAAACACCTGAATGAAAAGTGAAGACGTAGGCGAATCTGTTCTTTAAGTCTTTGTTGATAGAGGCAATTGGCTGTATGGAAAATAACAGTTTATAACATAAATCATTAGACGCTATGCTATTGGTCAAAATATAAAAGTTAATCACAAAAAAAGTAAAAAATTGAAAGTAAAAGAAGAAAAGGTTCAGCAAGCAAATCGTTAAGTGTAGAGAAGAAAGTTATCGAAAGATATCGTTACGTACTCGTATAATATGAGCAATTGTGGCAGTAAATGAAGATATGCATGCTTAATTTAAAATAGATGTTTGGATGGTGGCACTGTTAGGTTTCATTTCTTTATTTTCCATCTATTAAATTCCTTCCCATTCCTTTTCCTCACGCTAAACTGTACTGTGTTTTTTCAACAATCAGTATGAACAGTGGAAATGACAAAGAAAACACACCCTTCACCTTAATTACATTTCCAAATACTTTCTTAATGTTTTTTAATGAGGTAGCTTTCATTGAGAAAAAGAGCACTGAAACGTTACATTGAGCCAATCCTATTTTACGGATACGAAGCGTGGACAATCAATAAACAGCTGGAAAGAACAATTGTAGCGATAGAGTTGTGGTTCATAAGACGTATGCTACGTATCCCATGGAGAGGTAAAAAAAAACAAATGAAGATGTCCTGATTGAAGCAAATTATAGAAGACAACTTATCACGAATATCAGAAAGCGACAGGCAAATTTCTTTGGACACACAATGCGGAAAGAAGCATTAGAGAATATTGTAACAACAGGCAAGTTTGATAGAAAGAGAGGCAGAGGTAGACAGAGGGAAAAGATACTGGACAAGATGACAACATGGCTAGGAGCAGTAAGAACAACAGACACCATTGCTGCTGCGCAAGACAGTGAAGTGGAGGTCCATGATCGCCCACGCCAGTCGGCAAGACACTGGAGGATGATGATGAGCTTTCATTGACCATGCTATGCCGCTGATGAACGCCAACAAAGTGACGGAGTGGCACACGCCCTAATGCAGAGATGAAGATGCTTCTTTAAATTTTTCCCTACGGTGGAATACAGCTTAAAATCTTTGACAGCAACGGGACAAGCATTATACGTCATGCATGTATGTCGCAATGTACATATGTGTACTTATAGAGACTCACGTGGTGACGTCTTGAAAAGGGGAGAATGGTGGTGTATGGTAAGGGGATAAAGGTGTTACATTCGTACTGTGAATTGTGGGGGTATAGTGGTGTCGCTGTCTCAAAATAGCCAATTTGTAGGTTAAGTTACTTTAATCATTCTTCTAGTGATCCTGTGTGTGCACCCAAAAGACCATGTTTGATGCTGGGTCCAGGTAAAATTATTATTATTATTACTATTATTATTATTATTATTATTATTATTATTATTATTATTATTATTATTATTATTATTATTATTATTATTATTATTATTACTGGATCAAGACGTTTTTAAAACTTATAAAAATAATAGATAAAGAAAAATGGTTTCGTCGCTGGCTTATGGGAGTGCCATGCAAAGTTCTGTTTGCATTGGCAAATCTATAGGACAAAATCGATATTTTTTCTTTCAAATGAAATTAAATGAAAGTGAATTGCCGAATGAAAGAAGGTGAAACCGTATAATCGAAAAGGTAAACACGAGCATAGGCCTACACATGATAGCATTCAAATTTGTGTAATCTTACTGCGTAGATCAGACGGTATTTTGACAGTAAGCGTAACAAAATAACAAAGGAACTGAAATAACACTCAAAATTCAATTCCCGAGTAAAATCGTGACACGCATCTTGGATGGATTCAAAGTGACGCAAGAGTCTCAAAATACCACAAGTGGTTTCTTTCTTGTAAAAAAAATAATTTTGAAGACCACAGTTCTAGTTATTGTCCTCACATTAATAATATAACGTTCATGGGGCAAACTGGGCCCAGGGGTTATCCCCTCACTACGGGCTCTTAGCTCTACCTCACTAATCAAAAAGCAAACAAAGATTTTTTTTAAAAACAAAGGTCAAAACAAAACCAAAAATGCGACTTTGCTTTCATGGAATATTTTCGTTTTCAGCGGCTTGTCGATGGGGGCGTAGAAAAAAAACACAAAACTTTTGAATGTTTTATTAGTGTTCTCTTAAACTTCAATTAATTAATTGTGACCTCCCGTTTGAAACGCACGATTTTTCCTCAAATACCCCCCCCCCCCCCCCCGGGGAAATTTTGGGGGCACATAAACCCAAAAATTAAACCAAACCTTCCCCCCCCCCCCCCAAACCCCGGGGTTAATTTTCATGGTCTCCTCCATATTTTTCCCACTTTCTCCCCGAGGAATATTGAGGGTGTTAAGAGGACACCCCCCCCCCCTCCTTATCCCCACCCCTTTCCTTTCAGAAAACAGAAAAAAAGAAAACGTGGGTGGTAGAGATAAAAGGGAGCTACAGAAAGAAGTCTTTTTATGCCAAGCTATTTGCTGTAGGCCAATATTGCTACCATCATACTCTTTGCTTTCGCTGAATTGGTTTTCGAAAGAAGCCTTTTGTGCCCGTGTTCCAACATTTGGGGTGTGTATGTGTAAGTGTGTGTGTGTGTGTGTGTGTGTGTGTGTGTGTGTGTGTGTGTGTGTGTGTGCGTGCGCGTGAGCACGTGTGTTCGTGCGCGTACATGTCCGTATGAATGTTTCCAAACTCGCGAGTATGATCATGAGAGTATGTATTATAATAGTATTATGTTAGCATGCCTACCATCTGGCCCATACACAGGTACGGCAGTACTTACTTACTAACTCTCTCCCTATACCGTCAGGTACATAAGGCGGAGAGCAGTCGACTCCACGCTTGTCTGTCCCGGGCCACTTTCTCAAATTTCGGCCCATCTAGTTCCTGGGTGATTGCCTCATCTCTTATTGTGCCTCTATAGCTTCCATATTTCCCTTGGCCAGGCCAACGTGTCTCGCTCAGGCCTAATATGTCGAGGTGATAGCTGGACATTTCGTTTGTTATTTGGGCTAATTTAGAGGTCTGGAGCATGGTTCTAACGTTCCAGAAGCCTGTCTTGAGATGTTTATTGGGTTTCAGGAGGGAGCTGCTCGGGCTATTAACCATCACATTAGCTCTATTTGATCTGCTCCTTTCTTCCAACACAATAAGGTAACGTTTTCTGCTTTTCGTTTCAGTAACTTGAAGGATTTTATGAGATGGGTTGTTGGCCCATCCGCAACCTCCAGAGGAAATCCTAATAAGTTCCCGTGTCTGCTGGAGGAGACACAGTACCCGTTTGTGGTGGCCATTTTGGATAAACCATCCTCATCTGCCCTCTGCTGCTGGAGAAATAAATCTCTTGTTCACCAAGTAGCCAGACATCCTCACTATTTGACTCAGCGTAATTATACCTTTTACTAACCTTTCGAAGCGTGCCACCCTCGGGCATAGAGGTGGGAGTGAATACATTCAGATAGAGACAGTCCTCTTGTCCTGGGCCCATGATATCAATCCATGTGGAGTCCTGCATACAGAAGGGCCCGAACTCTGTAGCATTGTACACGCTCCCTGGTCGAAAAAAAACACAACAGAATGCTAAACGGGGACAAGGGATGGTGTAAAGAATATTATGTGGTTCTTTGGGAGGATCAACACTAATTAAATTCAAGTTTTCTTGACAAAATCTAGTTTACATATTAGGGTGGAAATCGAAGACAAAACCCCCAAAAAGTGAAATTAAAATAAAAACTGTTGCAAAAATTGTTCGTAAGTGTGTGTCATCCAACCGACCAGCGACAGTGGCATAATGATTATAATAGGCCCTTCGCCTTGTCTCGTAAAAAGAAAGTTCAGTGTGTGTCCCGCTCAGGGAAGTTATAAATTGTAACAAGTACCTCCGTCTTTCTTTTAGTACCCGAAAGGTTGCATCCACTTCAGTTTAGGTTGGAAGTAACATCCAGATTTTTTTTTATGAGGACACCCACCCCCCACCCCCTCCCAAATTCAATGATCTAAATAAATTTGTCAAAATGTCATAAAGCAGTTACGTTTAAAACCAGCGTATTTTTCCTTTTACACTACAACGGGAAAGAATAGAACAAAGGTAGGTAAATAAAAGCAGTTCTGACGTTGGAAATCAATAAATATATCCGAAAATTAATCCAATGACTCTAAATTCATTTAGATCTAACTCTAAAAATATAACGCGCAGGTGCTCTATGATTTGCTCCTTCTTTCCTATGAAACATTTTTTTACCCTGCCCAATTCAATCATCTGGCGCTTTTTTTGTTTAATAATAACAACAAACTGTGCAGCATTTTGGATTTTAAAATTATCTGTTAGTCTTAGAGTAAACACGCCGGAGAATGTTTTATATACAAATAAATATATGAATAAATAAATAAATAAATAAATAAATAAATAAATAAATATGTTTCTTCACTCTTATG